AAAGGCACTTTTTTTTTTTTTTTGCTTGTTTGTTTTGCTTTTCCCAGCAAGTTTTTTCAGAAATTTGCTGGTTTTTACAGTTTTCCGGATGTTTAAGTTCCGGATAGCGCAGGTTTTACTGTACATTAGAAGCAAAAGGAAGGCCCCGGTCAGAGAAGGCTCATTAGTCCATGAAGAAGGGACAATAATAACAGAAAATGTGGCTGTGGCAAAGTTTTTTTTTGCTTGTTTGTTTTGCTTTTCCCAGCAAGTTTTTTCAGAAATTTGCTGGTTTTTACAGTTTTCCGGATGTTTAAGTTCCGGATAGCGCAGGTTTTACTGTACATTAGAAGCAAAAGGAAGGCCCCGGTCAGAGAAGGCTCATTAGTCCATGAAGAAGGGACAATAATAACAGAAAATGTGGCTGTGGCAAAGGTGCTTAATGGCTTTTTTGTTTCAGTTTTCACCAAGAAGGCTGGTGGTGATTGGATACCTAACATAGTGACTGCCAGTGAAAATGAAGTCAAAAGGGAAGCTAAAATAGGAACAGAACAAGTTAGAAATGACTTAGGCCAATTAGACATCTTCAAGTCACTGGGGCCTGATGAAATGCATCCTAGAATTCTCTAGGAGTTGATGGGGGAGATATCTGAGCCATTAGCCACGTGAAAAGTCATGGAAGTCCGGAGAGATTCTAGAAGAATGGGAAGTGGCAAGTATAGTGCCCATCTATAAAAAGGGAAATAAGGACAAACCAGGAAACTTCAGACCAGAAAGATAATGAAGCAAATAATTAAGGAATCCATTTGCAAACATCAAGAGGATACTAAGCCAACCAGTAACAGCTTGGATTTGTCAAGAACAAATTATGTCAAACCAACCTGATAGCTTTCTTGCTTTCTTTGACAGGGTATTAAGTCTTCTGGATAGGGGAAAGCAGTAGGTGCGGTATAGCTAGACTTCAGTAAAGCATTTGATACAGTCTTGCATGGCTTTCTCATAAATAAATAAAATGTAGAGGGATGTACTATACAGTGGGTTATTAACTGGTTGGATAACCATTCCCAGAGAATAGTTATCAGCGGTCCACTGTCAGGCTGGAAGAGCATAACAAGTGGCATTTCAAATGGATCAGTCCTGGGTCTGGTTCTGTTCAATATCTTCATCAATGATTTAGATAATGGCATAGCGAGTATGCTTGTAAAGTTTGTGGGTGACACCCAGCTTATTAGGAAAGGCTGCAAGTGCTTTGGAGGATAGAGATATGATCTGGACAAACTGGAGAAATGGTCTGAAGTAAATGTGATGAAGTTCAACAAGGACAAATGCAAAGTGCTCCATTTAGGAAGGAACAATCAGTTTCACTCATATAAAAGAGGAAGTGACTGTCTAGGAAGCAGTACTGCAGAATAGGATCTAGGGGTCACAATGAACCACAAGCTAAATATGAGCCAACAGTGTGACACTTTTGGCAAAAAAAACGAAACAAACAACCCACCATTCTGGCATGTATTAGCATGAGTGCTATAAGCAAGACACAGAAATGATTGTTCTGTTCTGCTCCATATTGATGAGGCCTCAACTGGAATATTGTGTTCAGTTCTGGGTGCCACATTTGCTGAAAGATGTGGAGAAATTGGAGAAGTTCTAGAGAAGAGCAACAAAAATGATTAAAGGTCTAGAGAACATGAGCTTTGAGGGAAGACTGATAAAATTGGGTTTGTTTAGTTTAGAAAAGAGAAGACGGAGAGGGGACATGATAGCAGCTTTCAAATACCTAAAATATTATTACAAGGAGGAGGGAGAAAAATTGTTCCCCTTAACCTCTGAGGATAGGACAAGAAGCAATGGGCTTATATTTCAGTCTGGAAGCTTTAGGTTGGACATTAGGAAAAACTTTCTGTCAGGGTGGTTAAACACTGGAATAAATTGCCTAGGGGGTTTGTGGAATCTCCATCACTGGAGATATTTAAGGGCAGGTTGGACAAACACCTGAGAGGCCTGGTGAAGATGGTGCTTACTCCTGACTGGACTTGATAACCTTTCAAGGTTCCTTCCACTTCTATGATCTTTGAAAGTAAAATCATATCGTTGCTGAATCGAACTCTGGGTTTTAACTTCCGAAGTAAAGGTTTTCCAAGGAGCTTAGCCTTTGGGTTTGAGAGAACACGGCTATTTCTCCTCCCCTCTGAATGTTGGATTAAATTATCATCAAGGAAATGTTTAGCTGGTGGAAAAATATGAAAAGTGTGTTTGGAGTCGAGGTTATTAATTTGTGGGCTGCTCTATTTTGAAAACCAACCTGTTAACAAGAAATGTTGGCGATTGGGGTGAAGGGGGAAGTGACACATATTACGAGGGGTAGCACTGCCAGCCAGAGATGGGGCTGGGATATGGAGGATGCTTGGTAAAGGAGAAAGCTGCTTTCACAGCTGCATGGGCCATAACGTGATTATCCTCCGGTTGTCTCTCCGGCCAAATGCGGAAAACCTGCTCTTTACATTTCAAAAGGATCTGATTCCTTGCTGAACGGCTGTCAGGACTGCTAAGTGTCACCACAAAGCAGGTTAGAGCTGCTGCCTGGGCGTCTCTCCAACTCCTGTAGAACCCAGCACTAGCTCTGGGGGACATGAACAGGAAGGGCCTGGCTCCGTGGGGAGGTCTGGGACCTTGGGGAGCGGGTAGACGTTTACGTGTAGGTCTGTTGCCCCTCTCTTGTGTACTGGGCGGAGGAGCCAGCTCTAGGCCAGTGTCCCAGTCAAGTCCCACTTTATCCCTCTCTTGATGGATTACGTTGGGTATTTGTGACTCTCAACATCTTGGCCAACCCAGAGGGGACTGTACCAGGGACTTCAAAGCCTGGATATCTCACACATGAATGTCCTACATCGATCCTCCTGCACACACATGCACTGCCACTTGCCTGCAGTTTCCCACCCCTTGTTCAGCTCCATCCCTTATCCTCTGGTGCTCTTCTCTTGGGATTGCCAATGAGCCAACCACCCCAGCCCTGCTCCACCATCTTGTGTGCCCACCTAGCCCTGTCTACACTAGGGCGTTATTTCGAAATAACCCCCCCTAGGTTGAATTTATAAGCGGCGTGGCCACATGACCAAGCTCGTTCTTCTGAAATCACGGGCTGGTTGTTTTGAAATCTGTGCTCCTGCTTCCTCAGGGAATAACACTTATTTAGAAATCGTTATTTTGATCGTGTGGACTCTCCGGTGCTGCTATTTCGAAATAACGACTCCCCAGAGTCATTTGAATTAATGACTCCCCAGCGCTTCCTGGGGCCTAAGTCTGAGGTAGTGCATCCACATTCACGGAGCCTGCCTCGGACACACTAGTGTGGACACGCTAGTTCGAATGTATTAAATCGGGAGTTAAGTCGAATTCAGTAATTTCGAAGCAGTTTCTGAGTGTAGACAGGCCGTTACTGAGGGCTTTCTTCTTCTCTCCTCTCCTGTTCTCTTGCCCATAATGTTCCCATTCTCCTGAGTGCCTACATGTTTCTCCTCCAGCATCTTTTAAGAGCAGCTGAGGATGTAGCTCTGGGCGCCTGCTTCTCCCGGTCCCTTCTGCCTTCCACCCTCGGTGCTGCGGCCGTGTATGGCATTAATGAGGCTGCAAAGGCAGCTGGAGCGTCCCCCGTGACCTGAAGCTGAAGCAAACAAGCTGTTCCTGTTGTGCGTTGATAATGAGGCTGGGCCGGCCTGTGGGGAGAGCGATGAAATTGCCACCACCTTTAAACGGGGCCGTGGAAGCAAAGAAGAAGACCGTGCATAGGCCAGACTTGCTGGCTGCAGAGCAGCTGGCCTATCAGGGATGATCTATGATGCTTGGTCCTCTTGCAAGAGCAGGGGACTGGACTTGATGGTCTCTCGAGGTCCCTTCCAGCCCTACGGTGCTGTAATTCTATGATTACAATGGATTCTTTAGGAAGGCGGTTGCATGTCTGATCCATAACAAGGTTCAGCTCAACCCAGAACGGTGTTCGACTGCCTGGTACCATCTCTGCTCAACGTGTGCGGTGAAGGGTACCCGCCCGCACTGGACAAGGGAACGCTCTGCGCTTAGGCAGGGGCAAGCTGAGTGCTTGGGTGGCCCCTGGGAAGGATTCCAATGCCAGCCAGATGTTCTAGCAGAGTGCCCGCAGCCGGGCAGCCTGTGTTTCTCCTGGTGGTGCACATCTACCCGTGCGTTGGTGTACATAACAAAATGTATTCCACACACGGGTGGAGAAAAATGAGGGGGAACACAGGTGAGCGTTCATTCCTTTCCCGGGCGAACAGTGCCTGGCTTTTGGTAAAGGGGTGACTACAGATACACCTGTCCCTAGAGCCAAAGGCAGCCCTGGGGAGAGCAGACATAACTTCTGACTGCACTAACGAGAGTTGGTCGTGACTCAGACTTGTACGTTGTACCCAGTATTTTGCCTCGGAATTCTCCTGTCCCCAGCTGTGCTGGAAATTCTGTTAGGTCTCATGGCATAGGGGATGATGGAGAGGGAGATGGATCTGAGGTGTTGGAGTTCTGTCCTGCCGGGCGTAGGCCTGTCTTGCCTGCTGTGAGGGTTGGGATAGATTTAGGTTGGCGTCTGGAGGGTCCCGTTCCCAGAAACCGCCGGTTCACAGGCCCCCTTCCCTTTCAGCCTCGTGAAATGCGAATGCTTGTATCTAATTAATGAGCTCCCCTGATTCCGTGCATTGCCAAGCTGGCTCTATTAAAATGCATCCAGATTCCTGCAGGTCTCAGGCAGGACAGATGCTCACGAGGATTCTACAACAAACCAGCCCGGTGCAAAGATCCCACCGGATGCCGGCATGTCCGATTGCCACAGGCTCTGTTGACAGTTCCGAGGGCTTTGAGGGAGGAGGGTTGGCCAGAGGGAGCATGGTCCAGCTTCTTGACTGTCTGATACCTTCCGCTCTAAGCCAGTTCCCAGATCAAAGGCTTGGAGAGTGGAGCAAGGCGGAAAAAGGCCCTGGGAGCTAGAGAGAAACAACTGCCGTGTGTCTGCTGCCATATGTGCGGCTCTCAGGCATGGCTGCTGGCTTGCCGTCCCCCTCTTGCTCCTCACCGCGGTATCTAGGGACGGGGGAGTTGTCAGGTAGAGAGGAACCTCGGCAAACTCCGTGTTCTGGGCTGTGTTTTGCAGGGTATGTTTTACCGTGTGCGCGGTGTTAGTACTTCCCCCTTGTCAAGAGTTGGGCAAACAGAAAAGGAGCTGGGGATTCCAGTGGATCAGAAGCTGGAGATGAGTCAACAGGGCGCCCTTGTAGCCAAGAAGCCTAATGGCATATTGGGCTGCCTCATGAGGAGCATTGCCAGCAGATCTAGAGAAGTGATTATTCCCCTTTATTTGGCACAGGTGAGGCCACAGCGGGAGTACTGCCTCCAGTTCTGGGCCCTACGCTACAGAAAGGATGTGGACACGTTGGAGAGGGTCCAGCAGAGGGTTATAAAAATGATGAGGGGGCTGGAGGCCATGACCTACGAGGAGAGGCTGAAGGATTTGGGCTTGTTTAGTTTGCAGAAGAGAAGATTGGGGTGGGGGGGGCGGATTTGAGAGCAGCCTTCAACTACCTGAGTTGAAGAGGATGGAGAGAGGCTGGTCTCAGTGGGGGCAGATGGCAGAACGAGGAGCAACGGTCTCAAGTTGCAGTGGGGGAGGTTTAGGTTGAAGATTAGGAAAAACTGTTTCCCTAGGAGGGTGGGGAAGTGCTGGGCTGGGTTCCCTAGGGAGGGGGTGGAATCTCCATCCCTGGAGGTGTTTAAGTCCCGGCTTGACCAAGCCCCGGCTGGGATGATTGAGTTGGGGTTGGTCCTGCTTTGGGCAGGGGGCTGGACTCGATGGCTCCTGCCATCTCTTCCAGCCCTGGGATTCTGTGATTCTAAGCAACTGTCCCAGCAGAGAACGGTCCCCAAGTGGCCGGCTGTGCGTGTGTAGGGAGGAGAGAGGGGGAGTGTGGCCACTTGCATCACAACCTTCTCAAGTCGGGGGTGCACTACGGCACGGTGCATCGGAGCAGGCTGAGGATGGGACCGCAGCGACCTCTGTTCCAGCCTCTCTCAGCAGGAGGCGCTCTAGGGAAAGGGGCCGCTGCAGGGGAAGGAGCTGGAAGGCCCGAAAGGCTGCATCCCAACGGAGGACTCGTGGAGACGGCTGTAGGAGCTGCCCCGTTCTCTGACTCCCTTAACAGCTGCTTCCGAAGGCAGCGGTTGCAGAAGGCTGGCTGGAGGGGAGCTCTGGGTGGAGCACAGCAAGGAGCGGAAATAAACAAAGCCAAGCTTTCCACCTAGGTAGCTGCTTCCACTTGCTAATTACCAGGGCTCTGCAAATATTCCTGCTAGGAAACCCTCGTGGAGGCTGCCATCTGTCTCGGCCAAGAGGAAATGGGGAACAACCGGCCAATCCAGGATCCCGGTTGGTTTGCGGGGGAAGGGTAAATTAGAGAAGAAATTACTGCAGCAGTCAGGTGACTTTGAAATAGCACCTGGCTCTCCTAGGGCAATTCATCATTTTGACAAAAAAATAAAAATTGAGCCTTGATTCCTTCTCCGGGGGTGCGGGGGGTGCGTGCTTTTTCGTTTTGTTTTGCTGATTGCTGGGATTCCGGGAGCCGATGCTGCAAATCCAGCTGCGCAGTAGGCAGCCCGGCGTTCCCGCTTCCCCAGCAACTCTCTGCACGTAACGGCTCCCCTTCTCGCTGGCCCTGCCTGGCCGCACGCCCCCCTGCTGGGTCTCTAGCTCGGAGCTCTCGGCTTGCAGGGCTGTGTGCGTCTCATGCAGGCTGAAAGAGGGCCGGTGCTGGGGCCAGATATGCCTCACCAGGGCATTGCTCTATGGGGCAGTGGTCACGTGGCCCCTTGGGGAACTGGCAGAGAAGATGCTAGCTGATTGAGACCCTGACCATCATAGGGGGTGCTTCTGTGCTGGAGCTGGGCGAATAATTAATCTCTCTTCGTTTGACTAATGGACTAGAAGAATCTTGCAAATTCATGGCATAAATTATGCATGGAATATTATTTGATGAGCGCTGATCCCCCTGCTGCTCCTGGCCTGGCTTAGGTTAACTCCTTCCCTGCATGCCTCTCATCTAAGCAGACCTTAGGGCCCTGTTCTCGCTGCGGATATACACACTGGTCTGATGGGAGGACCGGTGAGTGCCCCTCCTGACAGGCGTGGATAATATGAATGGCAGGGGTGAATACGCCATCGTCTGTGCCTGTGTGTTCTGACTCGGACGCTGCAGATAGTCTGACTAACACACATCTACACTTCTGGGAAGATCGATGCTCTGGAGGTTGATTTAGTGGGTCTGGTAAAGACCTGCTAAATCGAAAGCTAAAGGAGCTCCCATCGACCCTCGAACTCCTCATAGCTGTGAGGAGAAAGGGAAGTTGCCAGGGGAGCGAAGAGAAGTGGCCCTCCCGCTGTGGGGCCACCCCAGAAAGAGGACGCAAGATCCAGCGACGCCAGCTACGCACGTCTCATAGCTGGCCTTGCGTATCTTGCAGGGATGTACCATCAGGGGAGAGAAAGCTGCTGTGGGTCTGGCTCATTGTGATGCTGAGGGCTGGAATTTGCCGGCAGCTGGGGGCTGAGAGGCGTCTGGTGCCTGACTGGAAAATCATTTTTTCCCCTAGTTTTCAACACAGTATAAAAAAATGCCCCAAACTCTGGTGTTTCCTTGGCAGAGGACAAGAAACGGCTCCCTGTGTGAGCTACCTGCAGCAAGGAACCCTGCTGCTGTTCATAGAGCCGTAGACAAGCAGCGCTGGAAGGGAGCAGAAGTCCCCTTGCCAGCTCCCTCTCCCTACAATACAGCACCCCTAGAATGTGCGTCTCTAGGGCATCAGCCTGCAGCTCCAGCGACCGGCTGGCTCGGGGCTGGGTTATGCCTCTGGTGAAAGGGTCTGTGAGGGGCAGGTGGCTTGGCCAGTCAGATGGGACCTAGTCTTGCCATTTGCTCAACTGGGCCACTGTTCTGGTGGATGAAGGGTAAAATCTGTGCTGATTGGAGGCCCCCCCCAGCCCCCTCAGGGCTAGTTCTGCCCCCCTCCTCCCATTTCCCTCTCTGCAGAAGTGGATCCCAAACGTCTATTCTGAAATCGGTTCCCTGTGTGTGCGAGACCCGGAGCCCAATGCTCCGCCGGGCGTGCCTCTGCACTCTGGCAGTGTAAATAGGAACGAGGCTCCATGTGTGATCTGTCACCAGTGCACCGGCCATGCAAAATGCTGCGGGTGTGGTGGAGCTTTACAGCCGCGCTTGACTGGTGGCAGTGACTGCGCCCAGTGCGGGGCAACAAATTGTCTTCCCCCGTCCTTTGCACGAATGGTGCATTCCCCCCGCCGGTCCCTGGCATCCCACCTCTGGCTAAAGGGGAGAATTTCATTCTGTACCTTGAGGCAACCCCCTGCAATTGGTACAGCCCCTTGGTGTGGGGCTGCATCGGCTTACACCCAGCGACACGCGTCAGTCGCCACGTGCCCCCGCTGTGTAGAAACAGGGTTGCACCCCCCCCCATCCCCGTGGGGTGTATTTACCCTGGAGCTAGGCAGTTACCCATCGCTGCTGCTGCATGTTCACTTGGTTTTTCCTACCCAAGTGTGGCCTCAGGCTCTGTGTATGTCCAGCAAATAGCCCCTGTGTTTGGACTGGGACGCAGTCAAGCTGTGATTACGGCTGCCCGAGAGCAGGAACATGCTGGGAGGGGAGGAGCAAAGTGCAGGGGGAAGCTAAACGCGGCCACGATAGGCAGTTACCCATCGCTGCTGCTGCATGTTCACTTGGTTTTTCCTACCCAAGTGTGGCCTCAGGCTCTGTGTATGTCCAGCAAATAGCCCCTGTGTTTGGACTGGGACGCAGTCAAGCTGTGATTACGGCTGCCCGAGAGCAGGAACATGCTGGGAGGGGAGGAGCAAAGTGCAGGGGGAAGCTAAACGCGGCCACGAGGAGCTAATGGAACCTTGTTTTCCCCCTCCCCCTCACTCCTGCCCATTGCGTGTCCCTGCCACTAATTCCAGGCCTGGATTTTCCGCGGGAGGATGCTTCGCCGAACTACCAGTTTGGTGACTCTGATGCTGCCGCGCTGATTGTGGGGCAGCTCCCGAAGCGCGGGCAATCCTGCCGGCCGGAGCGTGGCCAGCGGAGGGTTCTGGCGACGCCTGTCCCAGCGGGAGCGTAATGGGCACAGCGCAGCCGGCGTGGGAACTGGAGGTTGGAGCTGGGTCTTGGTTCTGGGGCATGCCGGAGCCCCCCGGGGTGAGGGAGGTGCCCTGTTCTGGCTCCCCTAGTTGCATTCACCCTCCTTGTCCCCCTCGTTCCAGGGCTGTGCCCCCAGAGTAACGCCCCTGCCCTCTTCCTCTCTCTGCTTGCCCAGGAATGGAGCCCGCCACCACCACCAAGAGCCCAAAGCCTGCAACCTGAACGACAACTGCAAGCGGCTCCGCTCGGCCTACATCTCCACCTGCAGCAAGGAGATCTCGGCCACCACAAGGCCCTGCGCCAGTTCTTCGACCGGGTGCCCAGCGAATACACCTACCGCCTGCTCTTCTGCGCCTGCAAGGACCAGGCCTGCGCCGAGCGCCGCCGGCAGACCATCGTCCCCAGCTGCTCCTACGAGGACAAGGAGAAACCCAACTGCCTGGACCTGCGGAACACGTGCCGGACGGACCATCTCTGCCGGTAAGACCCGTCCCCCCGCCGGGCCCATGGCCAGCGTTGTTCTTGGTTTTCTGTCTGCATAGCAGGGTGGGGAGATCGGCCCTGGGGCATTCCATGCGGATCCTCCTGGGGCATTCCATGCGGATCCGGGTAGGGTCCCACAAAATCCCGCACCCACCTTGGGCATAGGGGATGTTGTGTTGGAGTGTGGAGGCAGGCCCACAACAGTCACATGCGACGTCAAGACAATGATGCAGGGATTGTGTGGCTCCCGTGGAGTGCCGGGGTGTGTGGCGGGTCTGACTATGTGTTTGCAGTGGTCTCTTCAGTGCGATGCTTGGGCAGAGCCGGCTGGCCGGCTGGATTTATCCTGGTAGTGGTGGTTTGGCCACTTTCTGGCTCTGTGTTGCATTTGGCTGGTTGGTTCTCTCCTGGGTTTAAGTCCTGGATCAAATCGGGTACATCCACAACGTTCTTTCAAAACCACAAAGAGCGTGTCTACACAGCAGGCCGTTATTTCAAAATCACGTTGAGCTGGTGGACTTCTTCCTCTGACTCCTGTAACCCTCATTTCATGAGGAGGAAGGGAAGTCGGAGGAAGAGCGCTCGTCCTTCGACTTCCTACTGTGTGGCCAGCGCCAAAAGCCGAGTGACGCTATTTTGATGTCCGCTAACGCAACTGACGTTGCTGCAGTTGCGTCGCTTAACTCGACGTTAGCCCGCAGTGTAGACGTGCCCATTATGTGCTGGTGTGAAATGGTGAGTCCAGGGACCTGGTGGGCCTCTCGATCATGGACGTGCAACTCCAGCATGTTGATGGAGCGGTACTGCTTCCCCCCCACAGAGGATGAGCCAGTTGTTTCGAACGTGCTAGTTTTGACATGCAGCTTGCATGTGTCACACGAGGCTTCTTGTGGTGTAGCCCAGCTGCTGTGCTAGGAGGACCCTGTGCCAAGGTATAGTGACTGGGGTAAGCTGGTTGCCTGCCCGTTCTACCTGCGGGCGGGGTGGTCCGTCATACTGGGCAGAGATGTCCCTGCTGCTCGGATCCCTTCCTCTGTCTGTTGGCGTGTGCCGTCTGTCGGCCGAGCCCACCCCTGCCTAACTTCTCTACCCACTTTTCTCGTCACCATCACATCATCCGGACTTCCACGGGAAAGGGCCACCACACTGCTTAGGAACCTGTCTTTAGTCTTTGTCTTGTGGAACGAGGTGTACCGGTAGTTCGGAATAGGAATCCTAGTTCGAACTACCTAGTTCGAGCCCCGTGTAGCCGCGCTGCACGGGGTTCGAACCAGCGGGGTTTTAAAAATGGCGGCTCCCCGCTTATGCAAATGAAGCCCGGGAAATTCAAATCCCGGGCTTCATTTGCAAGTGCGGTATGCCTACATTACCCTCCTAGTTCGAACTAGCGGGGTAGTGTAGACATACCCTCTGTCTTAGAGACTAACAATATATAGGGTCACGAGCTTTCGTGGGTAAAACCTGCTTCATCAGATACATCTGTTTGCCTTTACAGTGCCACAGGACTCTTGTTAGTTTTGCCGACACAGACTAACACGGCGACCCCTCTCAGACTGGAAATCAGGGAGAGACCATTTCCCGACCCTCCCTCCCCCCAGTTTTCCTCCTTGTTTTTTATTTAACCAGCCCTGCTCACAAGCCATGGCAAAGTACAGTCAAGACTGTAGTGGTTCAGGTCATGGCGTGGGAGTCACAAGGCTTGGGTTCTATTCACCAGCTGAGTTACTGACCTGCTGTGACACTGCTGGGTCTCCCGTTTGCTGGGACTCAAATCCCTGCTTTGGTTTGCAGCTGTGAAGCTGTTTAAAAGCAGAGGCCGGTGCAACCCACCACCCGTGCGGCGTTTCCCGAGGGATGAAGGCGGAAAAACCAAAGAGAGCTGGCGAGGAGCTCTTGTTCCTGGCGCCCCACATGGAAATGACTCTGGCAACTCCTTTGGCGGAGTTTTGCGTGGGAGTAGGGCGGGGCGTTTGTGCACATCTGTGTCTGCGCACATGAGGTCATCGTTCATGAAACATCCATCTTTAATTCCTGGCGAGGGCCAGACAATCCTGGAGGGCTGGCAAGAAGAGAAGAGCTTTGTTTTGTGAAAAACGTGCAGGATTTCGGCATTGGGTTTGGTTCCCCGTAAGGACAACACCGCTGCCTTTGGGAACTTGCCAGGGAAAACCAGAGGGCACAACTTGAACTAAGCTACGCAACTTCAGCGACGTCAAGCTGCGTGGCTGAAGTCGCAATAGCTGAATGCGGCTTTTGGCGCTGTCTATGCAGCAGGAAGTCGAAGGACGAGTGCTCTTCCTTCGACTTCCCTTGTTCCTCATGGAATGAGGGTTGCAGGAGTCGGAGTAAGAAGTCCTCCTGCTCAACGTTATTTCGAAATAACGCCCTCGCTGTGTATTACGCACTCTTTGTTATTTCGGAATAATGTCAGTTATTCCGAATAACACTGCAGTGTAAGAGAAACACAACTATGCAGCCAAAAAAGTGCCCCCCGTCCACAGTAAATTTCAGAGCCTGAGTTAACTGACTCAGGCTAGCAGAGCCTGTGTGCGGGGCTTACACTAGCCATGTAGGCATTCCCACTTGGGGTGCAACCTGGCCTCCAAGACCTGCCCCCTTCCAGAGCCAGCCCAAACCTGAATGTCTACACTGTGATTTTTATCCTAGCTGTGTGAACCTAGACTCGTTGACCTAGATTCGTTTTAGCTACATAGATGCAGAAAACCAATGTGGCCAGGGAATTCAATGGAGAGTTCATGCTGTCCATGGTCTGGTACTCTAACCACTGGGCCATACAGCTGGTCTCTCAGGGCCTGGCTCTATACAACATCTCCAACAGGAAAGACCCGCAGTATAGAATAGCCTGGGGGTCAGGGTGCTTACTTGAGAAGGTGTAGGCTAAAGTTGCCTCTAAACGTTTTCCATTGATGTGCGGAATAATTTTTTATGTGCACGCAAGCGTGTGCAAATGTGTGCCAATAGAAGGAACAAAAACCCCAGATGTGGGTGCTCTGCTAATCCGCTGCATGGCATTGGAATGTCCCCTGAGCGGACTCACAAGCATACAGCTTACAGGGAACACCGGTGGAGACGCAGGGATATGTCCCTACTCCAGATCAGGCAGACCCAAGACCTGAACCGGGGTTCCCACATCTTAGGGATGTGCCCTCATCACTGGAGTTCTCCTGTTCTCTTGTTTCAGACTGGAATTCCATCCTGGGCCCAGGAAACCTTCTGAGGAAAAATGTTGTTGAACCTGACGTTTCAGTTTTGACAAGTCGGGATGGAAAATCCAGTTTAAAATGTTAACCGGTTAAACAATAGCTGGAGTTGGTTAACTGGCCTGCCGTGTCGCGCCGTGGGCGGGGGGCCATGGGAGCAGCCCCCCGCCGGTGATGCGACGTGGTCTGCTTCAGCTTGGTCAGGTGCCAGTTAATCAGTTACCTGGTATGCATGCTAATAAGGCAATACTTACTGGGTAACTGGTTAACCCTTTACATCCCTATTTCCAACAGCAAGTGATGTTGAAAAAATCCCGACCTGTTCTACTTCCCAAGCTCCTCACTCCCAATCAGCGGTACCCCGGTGATTCCTGTCCTCCCTCAGCTCTGCCAATGACCCTCAATCTGGCCCTGCCCAGCCCCGTACCTCGCTCTTCTCTCCCGGGAGCCAGGCTTGCACGGGGGCCCAGCTGTGGATTTGCTGATATTAGTTCCCTACTGAGGGCTCATGCCCCTGGTGCCTTCCTCGGCCCAGTCCGAGCCGGGGCCCTGTCGGTGCTGAGAGATGTTCTGTGAGGCCAGCTGCCATGGCGGTGTCTCACAATCAATGTCAGCAGCGAGTCCCTGGGGGGTTTCCGACCGGCTCTGGCGCTTCTCTGCTTCGGGGGTAAAATCGCAACCACCGTTGCTGGGATCAGGGGGTTGTTACCGAACGTTATGAAGGATCTGGGGGTCAGTGGTTTTTTGGGGGCGGGATTATTGTCATTGGGGCTTAGAAGCGGGTGTCCCGGTGGGAAGCATCTGTCTCGCTGTTGTGACGATGTAGATGGCAGCCCAGCCATGCCAACTGGGCACAAACCGAGCGGCGCTAGTGTGGGACTCGGCAGGTGTGGCTGACATGACGTGAAGGGCCCTTTGGGGTGTGCGCAGGCTGGGACAACGTGAGGGCTGTGCCATGGAGGCAGCGTGGCGGGTGGGTGTGACCATTGGGGAGCTGAGTGGGTTTGGCCCGTGCGCTCTTGTTGCGTTGGGGTTGGGGGGGGCGGTGTCATCCAGGATCAGAGAGAGGAAAATCTTGACTGATGTTACCAGGGCCCACGGACGAGCTGGAGAAGGAAAAACATCATTAGCGATGGACTTGTCTCAGCGTATCTGAGTCTCCGGCTGCCCCTGTCTATGCGACTTTGTCTGTCTGTCTGTCTGCAGTGTCTGAGTACAACACCATCCCTGCAGAAGGGCTGGGAACCTGCTGTTCCTATTGGAACCTGCACCCAGCCCCCCCCTTCTGCCTTGTCTCTCTCAGCTGTGGGAAAGGCACTGGCTTATCAAGCTAAATCGTGAGCATCCTGGAATCTATCAGAGCTGCTCAAATAAGGTCCCTGCTCCCCTAACGGTGTCACTTCATGGCCAATGATGGCGCAGGGTAGTGTGGAGCCGGGGAGAGCAGATTCCTTCCTTCCTAGGGATACCACTTCTACTTCCCTATATGCAGTGCCCTGGGCAGAATCAATGTCAGCACATATAGAGTGTGTCTACGCTGCAATGAAACACCTGTGGGTGGCCCATTCCCTAGAATCCTAAGCCTGGAAGAGACCTCATTGAATCCAGCCCCCTGCCCAACGCAGGACCAACCCCAATTCAATCATCCCAGCCAGGGCTTTGTCAAGCCGGGACTTCAAAACCTCTAGGGATGAAGATTCCACCACCTCCCTGGTAACCCATTCCAGTGCTTCACCACCCTCCTAGTGAAATAGGTTTTGCTTTAAACAAAATAAA